AACGCGGGGCGGGCCCCCGGGACAGACGGGGCTTTTTATCCCACCCTTTTATCCCACCCCCCAGCGCCAGCCGGGCTGCTGCGCGCTCAACTCCGCGGAGCGCGCTCCGACGAGCCCCCGCGGGTGGGTTGTGCAGCGAGACGGGAGGGGGGAGCATCAGGGACCCCCTCCCCGCCCGGAAAGAGGCTCTGGGCTCGGGGACCCCTTCCACGACACCCCAGGTCAGCCCCGCTGAGAACACCCCACCTCTGACAGCTCCGGCCAAGACGCGGGTTCACTCGCTCAGGAAATAAGTTGTTTTCTTCACGCCACAGGTGAAAAAATTGTGTAATTTATGGTTGAGGGCAAGAAAGAAAAAAAAAAGGGAACTCAACAGCACTTAACAGTTCTTTTATTATTTCAGGGTCAGAAACAGCAAAACGCAGGGTTAGGAAAGTTGTTTCAGCTCTGCCTTTGGCATTATGCGGTTAAACTGCTTGGGAAACCACACACGGGAAAAATCCCTAACGGTGGCAAAAAAGGAAACTTTGTCATTTAAACAGTGCACAGGCACCCGTGCGCACTTTTTTCCCCCACGACATCCTTCACCAAAGGACTAACAAACCAGGCGGCAGATGAAAATAAACACAGGGGGCACACCTGGGTTTGTGCCCGGTGGCGGTGACCCAACAGCCCTCGCACCAAGACACGCTGTCGTTCCCATCCTGGGCGCCTGTCCCGTTACCAAAAAACCACCCCACCTTCCCAGTCAGGATGCTTAGCAACACTCGCAACAGGCTGCCCAAACTCCTTTCATCCCTAGGGCGTGTATCAAGGCATTCAATGGATGAGTCTGGAAGGAATTAAAAACAGGGAGGCTGGGAAGGGGGGAAAAGGGGAAGCGAGCCACCGCCCGAACAAAGTGAACTTCTCCCAGATGCCACTGCCCAGTCCCACAAAAGGCGAAGCGCAGCGGGGACCTGCAAGGAGAGAGGAAGCGCACACCGAGCGAGCGGAGAGTTCCTCGGCTCAGCAAGGAGTCAGAGCCCCGTGCTGCGCTGCACGGGGCAAGAGAGCGGCTGTGAGCGGCAGGTGGGTCGAGGCGGCTGTGCTGCTCAAGCCCGCGACGGAGACGAGAGACGGACACAGGCATGGCTGGAAGAGGAATCAGTGCAAACGGGACCGCCCTAGCCTAAAGGAGCAAAGGCGGCTGCGGAACGGCTCTCTCTTTCAGGGAGAGCAAAATCTGCCGCAGAACAAAATGCTGGAGGTTTTGTTGTGCCGGATGAAGAAGAGGAAGGGACGATCGGCAGTGAATTCTGGAACAATCATTGCGCAGCGCAGAACCATCAGGCCTGCCGTGGCGGCTGCCGCACTGCCGCTTCCGTGCCTTCTTCGTTGACTTCCACGAAGGACTTGTGAACTACTTTAGAGAGCACCAGCTCATTGCCGGACGACATTCCCGAGAAGTCTGCCTTCTGCAAGTCAAACGCGTCAGGCATTCCCATGCTGCTCAGAAGGTCATTCAGATCGTAATCTTCCTCTAGTTTAAACCTGGGTAAAGACACCCTCACCTCCGTACAGTCCATCATTTCAGGATTGATCCAATCTGTCAGGTTCTCGTACGTAAGTTCTCTTTCCAGCTAAAGCAAAACCCCAACGTTACATGGTTAAAATGAGAAGAAAGTCGGTTTCCCACAGCCCAAAGTGGCGATTGCTGTGTTTACAAACAGCACAAAATGCATCTTTTTTGCTTTTTCCAGGGTGTAGAGGGCCTCAAGCCCAAAGTGCAAGTTATACATTTCCCTAGAGACTACAGCACCCGCTGAGATCAATCCCAGGTGCTTCTTGGTAGATACAATACAGATCAGTCCCTTCCACGTAGAGTTTACCTTTATAAAGGCTTTTGCTGTAGCTACTAAACTGCCTTTATCTCAACCCACGAGTTTTCTCACCCGTACTCTTCCAATTCTCACCCCCATCCTGCCATGGGGGGAAGGGGGAGTGAGTAAGTGGCTGTGTGGTGCTCAGCCGCCGTCTGGGGTTAAACCACAACAGGCCATGTGGTTCAGAACAGAAGATCAATGGGACAAGCTAAAGGACCTCCTAAGAGCTCCTCAAATCCCTTCTTGCCACCCGTGGTGCTCACCATAACCCCTGCTCCCGAGGAGGGTCAGGGTCTTCTTCCGGAGCCTTGGGTTATGGAGGCAGCACACCGTGTGACCAGTGGTGACACAAGACATGACAATCGCTCCCGGGGCAGGGAGGCGTGGGACACTCCAGCTGGTGCTGGGCACCAATGGCAGAACAGCTTTGGAACCCAAGGGCAAGCCTATATGCAGCATCAAATCCTCTTCCCATGAAGGATGAGGACTGTCTTTTCATTTAGCTCAACAACTTACGCTTTCCAAGCCGGTGGATCCATCCTGGATTGCATCAGGGAGCAGGATGATCATGCTGAGTTCGTTACCGACATAAGGGAGCTCAAGGATTTTGGTCTTGAAGTCCCCAATATAGGTCATGTTAAATTTATCCTTCTTGAACATCATCTGCACAGGTTTTGTCTCATTCTAAAAATAAAGAGATGTCAGCAGTTACTACTGGGCTACTACGCTGGTCTCACAACAGGAAGCAGGCATCCAGTTACTCAGGGCTTTTTAGAACTTGACTGAAGAGGACTCAACACACCCCCGAGCAGAGCCCCACCGCTGACTCTTGTAAAGCCAGAGGGACGAAGAAAGGGTCCCCGAGATTTTGTGTTTAACTGCTGTCGTGGAAATACCTGTGAAGTTCCCTTGGAGGCAAAGGGGCAAGGACACACAGATTCGCTCCCTTAAGAACCAGTGGCAAGCACCAAACAGAGCTGGCAAGAAAAGCAGGGGCCTGTGTTCCTTGCTTTAAATGACTGCAAAACAATTTCAGTGTAGGATACTTTAATTTTTGGCCCAACAGAGAAGAACTAAAAGATTTGAAGATCATATGTGAAACGCCAGGAAAGCGAGAATGGTATTTTGAATTCTTAAAAGTCAGTTGGAGAGTACGCAAAGATTTTTCTTCTCAATTTCATTCTCTGCTATCTCCCTTCCATCTTCACATGGAGCATCAGCTACTACTGTTTACATCATTATTTCCTCCTTTTCAGTTACTGCTTTCTCCCTTCCCTCCAGGAGACAAAGCCAAAAACCTACTTTCACTAAAACAAAGCCCATTGAAGCGACGCCCACAGGGAACATGGCAGGATTTATTTTGCAGCAGCAATGACCTGTGAAGAGGACAGGTAAGCAAAGAAAAGGCCACACAGCGTGTGAAAGTCACCCAGGGAGTCACAATAAGCACCAGAGTCACAGAAAAGTGTCGCAGGAGGCTCCTGGGATGTTAAAGTAAATCTTCACTACCGGACAGAGTGTGAAATAAGTAGCTTAAGGCTTCAGGTTACACCCGGGATTTCCAACTGCTCCCTTGAACCTACTCACAGACTTTTGCAGCTCATCAGTGGCGAGTCGTTAGTAGGAGGAAACACATCCTTACACCACTTCGTTTTACAAGGAAAGAGATGTGCAGTTCTTTGCATTCCTGTGCACGAGTTCCTTGGGTGAGCCAACCCATTCCCCAACCCTGCATCTTACAGCTTCGTCCAATAGTTACCTGGATCCCAAAACTCTGATCTTAGTAACAACTGACTGAAGACAACTGACTTTCAGAAGTTTCTGCACACGCAGAAGTGTAGGCTCTGCCTACAGCCCCATTTCTTTTCTGACCCACACCAGCTTTATGCTAAAACAATCCAGTTCACTGGCTTCTGTGAAGTTGTTCACGACTCTCAAATAGCTGACCCCTTCACTCAGCTGTTTTCTTCTCAGTTCTAAGTTCTGTAGCTCGGGGGGGTGGGGAGGGGTCACCTCTCTCAAACAAACAAGAAGGGTAAAGGAAAAAAAGGGGAGACAGAATGAAGGAAACATTTAGTCGTTCTATTAAAGTTACTAGTAGTTATCTGAAACGTAACAAACCAAAAAGAGCGTTCATTTTAAAGGGAAGGGATATAAGGAATTCGACGCAGTTCACCCAAGGTAACTCCGCTGAAATGACGGGCTTCTTTTTCCTTCAGAGCTGAGTGCATTCATTCCCAAGGAGCAGTGTACTTGTCACCGCTTTAGCACACCATACCTTGCTAATATGAAAAGGCATTTCTGTCGTTCTCTCTCTGTTGAACTGCTTTTCCCAGCTGCCTTTGAAATAGATGGCATTCACCAACACAAGTCTGGTCAGCGAATCGATAGTCCCCTCTGCCAACAGGTTCCCAATTTTACCTTTATAGTACACAGGGGGGAAAAAAACCCAATTTTTAATAATTAGATACATGTTGAACTGTTAGCTAATAAGGGATTTACTCTGTAATTAATACATAATTCTCTTATTGGTTGTGTATCAAACAGAGCAAGACCTCAGTGTTTGAGTTTTTATGACCCACAATATTATACCGGAAAGCTTGGGGGATCTTTTTACAAGGGCCTTTAGTGACAAGGCAAGGGGTAACGGGTTTAAATTGAAAGGGTGTGGATTTAGATTGGATATCAGGAAGAAGTTCTTCACAGAGAGGGTGGTGAGGCACTGGAACAGGTTGCCCAGAGAAGCTGTGGATGCCCCATCCCTGGGTGTCTTCAAGGCCAGGCTGGATGAGGCTTTGAGCAACCTGACCTAGTGCAAGGTGTCCCTGCCCATGGCAGGGGGGGTGGAACTAGATGGTCTTTAAGGTCCCTTCCAACCCAAACCATTCTGTGATTCTGTATCTTAAAACAGCTGCTTACCCAAGTCGTGGCTGCCATTAACTACAACAGGACATTCTACAAAACACTCACCTTCCGTCCTTTCCTCTACCCAGCCATTTATTTGTTTCCTGGAATCCTCCCAAGCATGCACGAAGTCAGTCTGTTCTAGTCCAGCATGGTAGAATTTCTGACTCGACTCTATAAATGACTGACATAGACAGGGAGAACAGCGTCTCAGCAAGACGTTTTACACTCATTCAGCCACAGATGAGTCTTAAACCCACCAAGGAAACCCACCCGCTTTCCTCCCCCAGCTTCAGACATTGCCCTTCAAAGTTCTGCCTGACACATTCCTATCAGGTTTTATACCACCTATTTGAACTGGGAATTGCCCACCGTATGTTATTACGTCAAATGGCTCGCTGACTGCGCTGTAAAGTTCGGCACAACCTAACTGAGAAACGGTGTGGCTAGTTTTGGGGTTTCTTTTGCTTCCGTGAAAGAACAGATGACTTTGCAACCTTCTCTCTACATAAATTTCATTGTTAAACGTCCTGGATTAATAGAAAACTCTTAGTTCAGAGGGGAAACTGATTTTTCTTAGAGACAAAAACACATACTTTCTCTCTGACTAGTTAGACCTTTATTACACAGATGCAAAGTTTTAGAGTACAATCCCTGTAATTTTTATCTACTAGACAAATGAAACACTAGCAATCTTCATTTAAAAAAAAAAAAAAACAGTCATCGTACATCACTCCCAGAGCAGAAAGCACCTTCTAGGGCAACATCTCAAGGAACATTCACAACACAATACCCATTATCCTTATTTAGATCTTCTGATAAGATTTTATTGTTAATTTTTGTCCCTCCTTATAAGTCGTGTACTCCTCTCAGCATGTTCTCTGGGGGACTGTACGTCACAGAAAAACGAGGAAATGCTGCCCCTGCTGAAGTAACAATTCTTTTTTTCTCCTATTTACACGTGATCAAGGGAAAAGAGATACATCAACGATTTGTCCCACAGCCAAAACTATGAGTGGATCGTGGAGACCTGAAGATTGAGTGTCTGCTAGATTTTAGTGTGCTTTGCTCCAGCCATGCACTCAGATCACAGGCTATCTAAAGGAGCTTCTCCACCAAGTTCAGACACTGGGCTTTGGAGCAACGTATCCCACTGGCAGGTCTCAACCTAGAAAATCTGGCAAGTTAAACCCAAAGCCTGCTTTCGGCCTCCAAATGAAATAACTAGCGAGCCCATTATACTAAAACACGTCCCCGGGTGTAACGGTTACTTACTGAGAGAAACTCAAATGTCTTTTCTCCATAAAGTCGGTTAGCAGTTCTCAGTATGTATCTGCTGCTTGGATCGTTGATGTCAGAGAGAAGTGACTGATAGCCATTGTGAGCGTCCTTGGCTTTGTTGAGAGAAAGCACCTGTGGAAAGACAAACATCCTCAGTGGAGTCCACGCCTCCTCTAAACACACTTGCTTCAGTACATCCTTTTTTTTTTTCCCGAGTGGTTTTGGGTTCATAGAACTGTGACTTGAAGCCAAAAGATGTTTTCATCACGCCCCCCATCTGGAGCTCATCATGCAAGTCACACAGGATGCACCCAGCCAGATGTTGTCCAAGTAACACACCAGGGTGCAGGTGAGTCAGCAGTATTTAGCTTCCTTCACTCAAGCCAAGCATTAGAGGATCAGAGCATGGACAAGGTGGGACATCTGGAGGTCATCTGGTACAACCCCCCTGCTCAAGCAGGGCCACCTATGGCTGGAGAAACTTTCATAGATGTAAATGAAAACAAAAATATGTGTTTATACTCCTCTTCCACTTTGCAAAAGAGAAAAACATAATTAAAAAAAAAAGACTGATTATGCATTTAATACTGCCAATTGCACATGTAAAAAATATGCCAAGTGGTATTTGCCACCTGAGCAAGTTTAAAGACAATTAAAGGAAGGTGCGGCCACCATTCTGACATGCATAAAGGGTGGATTTTTAATTATTTCTTTTAAAATGTGCCTGGCTACATTTTTAAAAACATGTACAGTCTGCTATTAAACCCAAACAAGATAGAAGAAAATACTTTATGTAGCTAGAGAATCAAACCTGCCAAAAAAAATGTCCTAGGTACCTCTTAATGACATATTCAAGAAAGACATCTCTGCCTCAAAAAAAACAAAACCACCCACACAACAAATAACAGGAAGCCTTTAATTTCACAATGAAGGGGGCTCCCTCTATTAAATCAGGCACTGCTTACAATCAGACTGAAGGAAGAGCTCCGCACTCATATTGAGCAGAACGACGGTACCACTTCAGCATAAACGCAGGTCACAGACACAATACAGATTTGTGGTTCACGGTCCCCAATTCAAGACACTACGTTTATTTAGACATACCTTTGCTATCTGGGCTTTAGTGTTACCTTCTGAACCCAGCAAAATCATAGACAAAGCAGAAGAAATACTAAAAGGAGAAAAGAACAGATTCTGCCTGCTTTTGTTCTCACACAGCTTTCTTAAGAGGTCGAGTGCAAAAGTGGTGTTTGCGGCACAGAGGCTGTCCATGGTTCAGAGCCTGGAAGATAAAAAAACAAAACAACAACAGCTCACATCTATTTGAATAGAAACTTGACAAGTGATTTCTATCTTTTATATTTCCTAGTACACACTACGCAGCAAGTGTCATAATTAGGCTGGAAAATTACCAACGAGCAGCGTAAAACCCATACTGGGCCCTTGGGTTTAGGGATCAATTGTTTGCGTTGCTATTTCAATCCCATACCTGTAACACAGACAGCAATTCCTACTGGTGTCATTAGACTCTCCACTGGGTAAATAACATTACACCTTTTGAGGTTATCTACTACAACAGTATTTTGTTTAGGATTTAGTAAACAAGTCTCTTTTGACTTCAGAGAGATAATTATTTGACTTTATAGAAAAACCAGAGCAAAACACTCAGCATCAGAATGGCAGAATTATAAACTCTTACCTTCTCTATGTCTATATGTCTCCAATATTACCTTCAGCTTACCTGTATGTCTGCACGCTGGGTTTTAAACTGAACAGACAGTCTGGCAGAAGTCAGCAGAATTACTTGATCTACAAGATGAGAAAAAAAAAAAAACAGATGAAAAGTTATGTGGTCAGCATGACTCATTACTGCAATTTGCTGCTGGAGTACAAAGCAAGGGGGGGGGGGGGAATAAAAGTCCATTTCAGTTTCATTTCATTGCCTACAACATGGAAATGTACATCATAAAAAAAGCAAACCTGCTTATAGATAACCATGGTACACCCACATTTCAACATGTGTAACCTGAAGCCCATCATACTCTACACACATCAGTTGTGTAGGTAGTTCACTAACCTGGGATTAAACCACACTCCTATAAAAGGAGCAATAAATACTAGAACACTGAGTCAAACGCAGATAAATCACCAGACATGGCAAGATATCAGCAGGTAGTAAAGATCTTTTGTTTTTCCCTTTAAGGCAGTGCCTAGTGTTGACAGGTTGCTACAAAATACAAAGGCAACACCTAACTCATATTACTAATTCTTTATCTCAAACAAATAGTTGGAAAGAAAAAGTTTCTGCATGCATGATTTTCCACCCAAGAAAATTTCTTGCTAGTAGCTTTACAATGAACAGTACTAACTTTCATCCTCTTTCTTGTCTCCCCTGACTGAAAGAATTAAAAAAAAACCCAACCACATAAAACTCAGCAATCTTAGATGGAAACAATCCTCAAATTCTGTCTGAAACGAGTAACTTAACTACATGTACTCTACAGGGTAAGTAGGGGCACTTCTCACGTATCAGTTCCTGTTGGTTACAATGAAGACCAGAATTTTCCTGCTTGTCCCCATTTCTATCAGATTGCTAGCAATATGGGGTTTTGACGTGAAGGTGAAAACACACAGAAGCACTGACAGCAGCAAGCAGCATTATCTAAAAAGTTTTTGTAGGGCTTCCATGACAGACAAAAATTTACAGATAAAAGGATGCAACTAACGCTATTCAACTAACTGAAAATCAGAGCATTTAACCAAATTGTAAGTTATATTTCATCAGCCAGGCTGGGAATGGTATCTCTACAGTTCTCCATGCTTTCTCTGCAGCTCACGAACACTGACACCCCACTCGCGAGAGCGGTTGTGGGGACCATACAGAACGGCTGCACTTTAAGGAACAGAAAGCGTACGATACCAGCACGTATTTGTCAGTTAAGCTGTTTGGTGCGAAACCCTCGGTGACCAGAGGCTTTGCCCACAGCAATTCATTCCCCACCGGTGTCCCCGTGAGCTCTGCAGGTCAAGGGTGAGGTTTCTGGATGCCCTGACCTTGTGTATTCCTACCCCTATGAATCTGCAGCGTCTATTCTCCGCAGCAGACACCTGTGTCCTAGGCCAGCCAGGCTGTTACCGAGACTGAACAGCAGAAACACACTGCAGAGTCTCTCTCAGCTGCCAGTTTTGCCATGGGGGAACCAGGCCGGCGCAGGGTGCACATTCGGGCCTGTAACACAGCTGTGCGCCATGACCTTGTGTATTCCTACCCCTATGAATCTGCAGCGTCTATTCTCCGCAGCAGACACCTGTGTCCTAGGCCAGCCAGGCTGTTACCGAGACTGAACAGCAGAAACACACTGCAGAGTCTCTCTCAGCTGCCAGTTTTGCCATGGGGGAACCAGGCCGGCGCAGGGTGCACATTCGGGCCTGTAACACAGCTGTGCGCCAAGCTGTGGCCAAGGAGGCACATCCCAAACCTACAACATGGATTAGCGCCCGAAATACGCAGATTGCCTCAGAGGTGTCGCAAGCCGGCTGCTTAAAACACAGCCGGAGGGGGAACTCGGGGTGATGAACACCGGGCGGCGTCCATCGCCACAGAGATGCGCCTGTGGCGCAGATGCCTCTTTCCCCATCCCCTGAAGCAACGCATGCTTCCTTAAGGGGCGTCACTTAGGAGAGTTGGGAGCGATGTTAAAACGCTTTCAGACCTCCGAGAGCTGCAGGGAACGGCTTCCCAGCCGGCACTTCTCCCGGGGGCAGGCAGAGGGGGGATGACGGCGCCCTCCCCGCCGGCTCTCGGCTCTGTGTGCCTCGGCGGGGGCCCCCAGGACGGGGCGGGGGCCCCGCGGGCCCCGGAC